TTTGGGCTCATTGCTTTTGACTATTTAAATTTAGGACTTTAGCAATTTTGAAACAGAAACCAAGTATGTGTCATGTTGCTCCCAGTAAATACATAATTTGTGCCACAAAAATTTCAATTGTGAAAACTTTTATTCCTTTTATCAACACTCCTTGGTCATTTCCATAAGACCCTAGTCCCCTAGATAGCCATAACAATGGACTCAGACATACCAATGATCATGAAGATGGTTCAGGACTGGAAGGGCAACTTTTTTTTTTTTTTTTCCTCTCTCTCTCTTTTTTTTTTTAATTGTACTTCAGGTGAACGGTTACAGAACAAATAGTTTCTCATGAAACAGTAGTACACATATTGTTTTATGACATTGGTCAACAACCCCACAACATGTCAACCCTCTCCCTTCTAGACCTTTTTTTTTTTGGTGAAAATACACATAGCCAAAGATGCTCCATTTCAAAAATTTCTACATGCACAGTGCAGTGACGTCGACTACGCTCTTCTAGTTGTGCTGTTATTCTCACTTTAGATGAAGGCTTACAGAACAAAATAGTTTCTCATTTAACAGTTAGTACACATGTTGCCCTATGACAATGGTTAACAACCTCACAACACATCAACACTATCCTTACTCAACCTTGGGTTTCCTATCACCAGCTTTCCTGTCCCCTTCTGCCTTCTGGCCCTTGTCCCTGGACTGCTGTGCCTCATTAGTCCCATTTGGTTTTATGGGGCTGTCCACTCCCCGGCTGAACAGTGAACCTCAGAAATGACTTCACCACTGAGCTAAAAGGGTGTCTGGGGGCCATACTCTCAGGGTTTCTCCAGTCTCCTTTAGGCCAGTAAATCTGGTCTTTTTTTTTTTGTGAGTTTATAATTATGTTCTACATCCTTCTCCAGCTCTGTCCAGAACCCTCTGTTGTGATCCTGGTCAGAGCAGTCAGTGGTGGTAGCCGGGCACCATCTAGCTGTACTGGACTCAGTCTGGTGCAGGCCTTGGTAGCTGTGGTCCATTAGTCCTTTGGACTAATCTTTTCCTTGTACCCTGTTCTCTTCATTCTCCCTTGCTCCCGAAGGGATGAGACCAGTGGAGTATCTTAGATGGCTGCTCACAGGCTTTTAAGTCCCCAGATGCTACTCACCAAGGTAGAATGTAGAACATTGTCTTTATAAACTGTGTTATGCCAATTGAGCTAGATGAAGGGCAACGTTTTGTTCTGTTACACATAAGGTCACCATGAATTGGAGCCAACTCAGTGGCAACTAACAATGAAAAACCTAGTCTAAAACAAACCGAACTCTCTTTGTGTGCTGGTACTATTTTGATTCATGGAAAAACTGATTATAGAGCTCAGGACTCGGAAATGCCCAGGCCTGCTGTTAGGAGAGAAAGTTCCTGTGTATAATGATATCTAACCCACTCAGTCGTGGTAAATAAGACAGATTCCAGGCAGTGCTTCATGGAGGCTATGGTCCCTGTGCTCCTGACTACAGGGTAGTTTCTGGGGCTGGCCTCTGAGTGTTGCAACAGAGATCCATTCAGAGTTCTCCCTGACAATGTCAGGACACTAATTCTGAAAATCTACAGTCCATAAAGAGACTCTGAGAGATTATTCATTTAACAAACATTTACAGATCACCAGCCACTGAACTAGCTGCTAAAGAAAATACAAAGTTGAGTTAGATATGAGTTCTGTCCTCAGTGAGCTTACAATGTAACAGGAGAGATGAGGTAAATACATTAGGGACAAACAACGGAGAACTTGAAATGTTATGTGAAAGAGCAACAGTGTTGCAGCAAGAGAGAGGTCATTTTCAGAGCAATTCTGAAAAAGAGTTCATGGAAGTGTTAACATTTGAGATGTGTCTTAAAAGGCAAGTGCCATTTAGGCATGTGGAGATAGTCAAGAAATTATTTTGGAAAGAGGAAATATTGTGAGTAAAGAGACAAAGGTAGCAAAGTGCTAGTTGTTTCAGGGCCAGCAAATTATTTTGGGGGGCTTGAACAGAGGTCTTATGTACAGCTAGAACGGTACTTAGAGGATGGGCATCCTTGAATGCCAGGAGAAGGAATTTAAACTTTATTTTATTTTCACTGAGGTGCTCTTGAAAGTTTTTGTGGCAGTAACTGAGAGTCTCACTGATCCACGAGTAACATTGGCCTGGATCTTGGGATCAAGAAAGGTCAAAACTGAGTTTACAGGCTTGGAAACCTGGGTAGAGATTTGATAAAAAAACAAAACAAAACCCAAACCCATTGCTGTTGAGTTGATTCTGACTCATAGCAACCCTACAGTTAAGCTTACATGGAAACAGTTTGGTGGTTCTTCAAAAAAATTAAACATAGAACTTCTATATGAACCAGCAATTCCACTCCTAAGTATATACCCAAGAGACTTGAAAACAGCAACACAAACAGATGTATGCATACCAATGTTCATTACAGCACTATACACAGTAGCCAAAAGGTGGAAACAACCTAAATGTCCATCAACAGACGAACGGATAAACACATGTGGTACATACATAAAATGGAATACTATGCAGCCATAAAGAGAAATGAAGGCTTGATCCATGCTACAACATGAATGAACCTTGAAAACCTTATGGAAAGTGAATTAAGTCAATCACAAAAGGACAAGTATTGGATGATCTCACTTACATGAAATAACAAGAAGAGGCAAAGGTATAGAGATCAAAGTTTATTAGTGGCTACCAGGAGTAGGAGGGAGGGGGAAAGAGGGAGCCATTTTTTAGGAAGCAGCAAGTTTTTGTTTATGGTGATGGGAAATTTGGCAATGCTTATGGGAGATGGTTACAAAACATGATTAATGTAATTGATATCACCGGAAACATTTTGAATCAGCAAACGTCATGTTATATATATATGTTTTTACAAAAATAAAAAAAGAACAAAAAAATTTAAAAAACGATTACATGGAAATAGATGTGAACATTGAGGGAGAGAGTATAGATAAAGAAATGGTCATAATAACTCTGTAAAAATTTACATGTTTAGGGCTGAGATAGAAAACAGAGTCAATGACTAAAACATAGAAGATACAGTCAGAATAATAGGAAAGAAAGGCAGAAATGTATGATACTAAGGAAGAGTTTCCAGAAGGAGTAAAGAAGAACATGAGAAAAAATAACATTTATTGTTATATTCTAGGTGTTTCACTTATGGTTTCTCATTTATTCGTCACAACATTTCACTGGAATAAATAATTTCTATTTCCTGCAAATGTGGAAATACAGACTCAGAATTCAAGCCACTTGTCCAAGGCCATATAGCTAATAGATGATTGAGCCGAGATTCACACTCAGGTAGGACTAGCTGAAGTTGACAATGCGAAAGTCTTGGACTGAGAAGTAGCCATTCAAAATTTTAGTCCAATTCTAATGCCAGCTCCAGGATGACATTTGGTATGTTATTTCACTCCCATAAATCTCAGATTTCTTATGTGTTTAATCAGGGTGTTAAGCTAGCTTACTTACCCTATAATTTCAGTTTCTGTTATGGTATTTTATGATTCTATGGTTCTGTGGTTTTATAACGTTGCAGTAAATTCCTTAAAGGATAAGAGAGAATAGATTAAAAAAAAAAAAAATTACATGCCTGGCATAACAATACAAAACCAAAACTTGAGTCATCTTTTCAGCTGAGATGGAAGGAAGGGAAGAACAGGAGGGTGATTAAACATACAGTGTTTGAAAGACTGTATAAGAAGGCGTAAGAAACTGAACTTTGAGACTGATTGGATATTGGACTGAAGGGAAGTGGGTAATGGAGGATAGCTTTTAGGTGCCTCATGAGGACCTATAAATCAATTAGGCTGCTTTTGGCACACAGACTTCAAAGCCGAAACCTCCCTCAAACCAAAACCAAACCCGTTGCCATCAAGTCAACTCCAATTCATAGGGAACTGTGAAATGTGTTATGATGACCCTTTCTGTTTTTATATTTATCTCAGAGTAGTAGGGGGAAGGAGATGTGCATTGGTTAAATTAGCTTAAAAATAGATTTCCTTACAACGTTATGACCTAAGTTTAGGCCACACTGGGTAAGAGGCAGAGCCTTCAAAACTTCCACCGTGTTGATCTATGGCCTGCCATTTATCATGCTGGACCGCACATTAGGGTCAATTCAAATCCTGGTGGCACATTGGACAGGCACCCCGGCCATCTAGTGAAGAGACTTGGAATTCAAGATAACTTTGCTAATAATTAGTGGAGTGACGCTGGACAAGTTTATTCATACATATATGCCTCAGTTTACAAATTTGTAAAATGCGGTTGGTAACAACTACTTTATAGGAAAGGGAAAATCACCTATCTTTGTGGTAGGTCCTCAAAAGTTGCCTGAGAAGAGGTTTAAATCGAATTATCTGTTCAGGCTATTCTCAAGTTTATTAGTATCCTACAGTCTCCTTTTTTAAAATAAAAAATACTATATCTTCCTTTAGAGTGATGGAAGTTTTCAAAAATAAGTAAATATTATGTTCTAAAATAATCAAAGCATTCATAATTTTAGAGTATGTTTTTCAAGCCTGTTCTGAGGTTCCAACATGCCTTTGGAGTCATTCTCCCCACACTACTCACCACCAGTCACTGAAGTAACTATCTAATGGTAACTTATGGTTTTCATAAACCCTCTTCTCAAAATTCATCATCAACCAGATTCCTGTGAGGGTACTTGGAATCTAGTCATGATCAAAGCTGTGGTCCATTTCCCCTTTACCAAAGTAGAACAACTTTGTTTCTGGATTTAAAACCAAGCTTCCCATAACACCCGTATGTGAAGGGGAAGGAAGGATTTTTCTGAGGTAGTTTTGTTTGCTTGTTTATTTTCATCAGGAGTCGTTAATTGTTTTTCGCCTTGTGTCAGAGAAAGTCCAGGGCAGTCTGGAATTTCACCTCAGGGCAAAGTTCTGCGGCATTGCAGAGTCACTACGCAACTAATGGACGCTGTGTTGAAGCTCTCTGAACCTGGATATTTGATATATTCAGGGCAGTTTCCTTTCAGTACAGCTTCAGGGCAGATAATTTAAACAAAATAATGGAGCCTCAAAATCAGAATTTGAAGACAACCCTGCTATTGTCTTTAGGAAGATTTCACATTTCTGAAGATTACGGCTTTCTCCTCCCAAATCCTCTGGTAAGGATATAATGCTTTGGATCAGATAGAATAGAATGCTTTCCTTTTTTTTTTTTAAATTTATACGGTTGTTAAAAGAGATGCTATAAAAATATCAAGTTATCAATCTGGGAAAGATGCTACAAACGAAGTGTAGTGTAATTATCACATGAGCAGAAGTGACAGCTACAGCAGAAGATAGTCCAAATGAAAAGTTTTAATGTTCGTTTCTTTGAATAGATTTTAGGCTAGGAAACCTATAAGCAAATATGTATCTATCAAGAAAAAGACAGAAATGAGATATAGGTAACTGATATGGGCAAATATAGGGCCATAACTAGCAGCATGCATTTTCCAAGGTATTAAATTTTAGCAAGTGAGGTAAGGTGTTAGTCAGGTCCCCCAACATTGAACTAAACTAATTCCTCTATTACCGATTCAACATTTTGCATTGGTTACCTGTTTGGAATGGAAATACCTGTAGGAGAGCTTACTCAAACTGTTGTGGGTCACCCCCAAGGATAATCTGAAGTGAATTAGTTTGTCTTGACTTGCCAGTTGGAGAGAAAACAGAACATGAGAGGGACCGTAGGTGGCTTGGTGGTTGGTAAGACTGATTAAAGGGTCATAGGAATTGCTGAGAAGAGGAGCAAACCCTTGAGAACAGACAGTATGTGTTTCTTAATTTTCCTTAGTTCTCAACCTGTACTGTAATTCGGGCTTACCACTTACCAACACCATTTTTTTTTTCTTTGAATGTGGTCTGAAGCCAAGAATAGTAAAGTAAAACTGTGAGAGTTCTTAGAAACCAGCTGGCCCCAGGTCCTTCCTTTTACACTCGAGCTAAGTGAAGTTCCAAAGAAGTGACTTGCCCAAAGTCGTTTCAGTGGCAAAAGCAGAGATAGAACTCATGAACTTGCATCTTTTTTCTACTGCGTCATAAGTAAGGGCCAAGACCACTCAGTTAAAAATCTAAGGATCTGATGTTTGGAGTCATTACAATAACTTACTAGAACCAGCTGTTTTTTCTACAGGTCTAATTTGCCATTTAACTCTGGTTAAAGAATGGTCTGGAAATCAGTGAGGTTTGATCGAATATCTACTCTGAATCTTGTTTTCTTATGGTTGTTATTGGAAGGATACCAATGAAGATAAGATCTATTCCCTGCTCTCAAAAGTTCTCTGTAGATTGTTAGTTGTGAGACCTGGTAATTTAGGCATTAAAAGTAATGACACAGACACCTACATAAACACACACATCAGTTGCTGTCGAATCGACTCCATCTCTTGGTGATTCCATGTTCAGAGGGGAACTGTACTCCATAAAGTTTTCAATGTCTCATTTTTAGGAAGTAGATTTCCAGTCCTTTCTTCTGAGGTACTTCTAGGTTCACTCAATCCTCCAACCTTCCGATTAGCAGCTGAGCACATTAACAGTTTGCAACACCCAGGGACAAATTAATGACAACAGGGGGGTTACACAGAAGAAGGTTGTTAAAGGGTCCTGGATTGTGTGCTAATACTGCCACTGCCATAGAGTGACCAGTCATCCCTGTTTGCTAGGGATTGAAGGGGTTCCTGAGACAGGGGATTTTCAGAGCTGAACAAGGAAAATCCTGGGCAAACCAGAATGAGTTAGTCATCCTAACTGGCACTTACTGCTCTGGAGACCTTGAGTGAATCACAAAGGTCGTCTGACTCTCAGTTTTGCTACGCATTGAAATGAGAGCTGCTCCATCCCCACTGGAGTGTCTTGAAGCATGAATGTGAAAGCACTTTGATAAATCCTGTGTAAGGATGAGAAGCCAGTTCCTCCTACCCTCAGTCCAGTGTTCTTTGAGAATCTAATTCTGTGTGTATAATTTAATTCAGGAACGTTCCCATCCTCCTTAGTTCACAAGAAAGAAAACGTCAATAGGTCAACATAGTTTTATTGGGATTAAATATGTGCACTGAGCTGAGAAAAAATATTACTTAAAAATATAGTAAAATGTTAGGTAGCGCTACAACTGCAGAGTTCCTCTCTTTGTTATTTCCTTTTTTGTAATTAAGGAAACCAGATGAGAAACAATAGCAGCAAGTGCTTTTGACATACTGAGCTAGATTTAGTGTGCCTTGTGGTTTCATTATTGGACATCTCATAGAAAGAAATTTTTATTGCTACCTTCTATAAAAAAATTTCTTGACAAGCTGGTTCTACTGTATCATGGTAATATTTTCCAGACCTTTCAAAATGTAATTCCTTGTTTCAGTTTTAATTTTCTCTCACTGGTATGACAAATGTAAATGTCTCCATTTCTGGGAAGAGAAGTTTTCATGAGAATCTGCCACGGATTGCTCCACAGATCAGGAGAGGCTCAGTCACCAACATCAACAGGCTACAGTTTGGCAACTGATCATGGGTTACGAATAGAGCTTTGAAGCGATGCATTATGGTTAGAACCCATGCTGAGAATTTAATTTCCACCCCAGATATACTAAATTAGAATTTTCATTTTAACAAGATCTCAAAGGTAATTCTCACGCATAGTATATTTTGAGAACCACTACTCTACTCGAGGTCGTCAGAATTGGTTCCTAATCAGCAGCAGTAGCATTGCCTGGGAACTTATTAGAAATATAAATGCTCAGGAGGGGTTAGATCTAGAACTAACCAGTTCAGTGCCCTGATAGGAAATATCACTCACTTGACTTCCAGGCACACAACAATAACAATGCTTCTCTGCTTAAGAGCCCGGCCATGCCTTGCGTTCCTTTAGTATAAATGCCAGAGTGGAAAGAAGGCTGTTTCTTCCTGGCAACTGGTCCCAAAGATGCTCTTTCTGCAAGCTTCGTTGCTTCCTATAAATATCAGGGGCAGATTAACCAGTAAGCAAGGTTCACACAGCCTTAACATTAAGCAAGGTACACACAGGCTTAGTTGTGCTTATTGTGAAAAACAGTTGAAATTGTGAACTACAGATTGGTAAATAAGCACAAGTAAGCCCGTGCATACTTTGCTTATTGGGTAATCCATCCCAGTACGTAAAATAGTTACTATAAAGTCTCTTTGCAGAAAAACAGTCAAGTTAGCAAACAGTGTGGCTTTTCAGTGGGTGCTAACTCGGTTTCAAAATTCCATCCTACTATTTCTACAAATTGTCAAACATTCACAGGTTCCAACACTTCATTGTAAACAAATGTTTACAGTACCACCCAGACTCACATCATAAATATGCCACAAAAAAATCCTTTGTAAGATTGTGTGTGTGTGTGTGTTTGTGTCGTATGGAGATGGGGGAGAAATTTCTCTTTAGACACAAAGAACACAAGGAAATGAGCTTGGGAGGTGAGGAGGGTCAGGGCAGATTATAGTAGGTGACCAGAGGAGCAGAACCGAGAGACCTTGAATGTTAGGCTCAGGAATTTGTATTTAACATGTCTGGGAAATGATATGATTCAAATGGTATTTGATTATTTTCTAGAAGAATGTTAAGTACATAATGGGTTATCTTAGTGCTCTTAAGGTGCAAACCAAAAGCACTTAGGGAGCTTGAGAAGATACTGATGCCAGAGCCCCAGAGAACAATTGATCGAGACTCTCTAGCCTAACTGGCTTCAGCAGTTGTAAACCACAGGATGAGTAGAGGAGAGCTCAGGGTGAGAGGTGAGGGCCTATACATAAAGGGCTGACTGTCATTCCTATGAGAGACACTGAGAAGGGCTGGGAGTAGTATAAATGCAACAACAAAGGAAAGGGGAAATTTAAAATATGTCACTGGAGCACAAGAGATGACTGGTTCAAATGGTCATGGGGATTTGGGGGACATGATTCCTTACAGGGATCAAAAAACCATGAAGGAAAAAAATAAATACATATATACTGCCCTGTAGAAATTAAAAGCACTTGAGAGAAACAGAAGACCTCAGATGCTTTGAAGTAGAAAAATTGCCACAATGGGCTGCAGTTCTGGATAGGAGGTGTACGTGGGAAGAATTTAGATATTTCCTTGATAAATTATTCTCATCTCTGCTATTCTCGGGGGCATTTCTGAGGAGGCTGAACGGAGACTTGAGGCAATGATGGTAATATAATACAAGCAGCTATAAAGATGTTTCAGATTTCATAACAGTTAATCAGTCTATAAACTTTAGATCAATATGTAAAGAAAAATGTGCTTGGGGTGGTGGAGGCTGTAACGTTTAGGGTATGGGCTTTTGTGTCAGGATTAAGGAACCAAGAAAGGTGGACGGAGCCAAAGGGGAAGTGCACAGGCACAAAAGTCTGGTCCATGATGAAATTTGACAAGTGGATCTTTATTCCAAAGAAGTAGCCTATAAAAACCGGATGTTACCTTTAGACAGTTATTTCAGTGACTGGTGTGACTACTATTTTAATCAGAATTTGTCATATGGATTACCTAATGTTTCTCAATACATTAGAGTGATGTATAGAATTTTCTTAAAGGAAAATTGCTTATGAAGTCCACAAAATTATTTCCAAAGGATCCAGAGACCTCAGTTTGAAAAAATGAAGGAAAAAAGTAAAGTCTTATTTATGAGAATGTATTCCAATTACAAGTTGTCACTGGAGCATGAAAGTTTTGCTTTTATAGCGGGCCAGAGGATAAAAAACACAAAATTACATTTCTTCATATTTATGTAGTTTGAAGAATATGTGTAGCTTCTTTTCCCTCTCTGCACTTCACAGGCCCCAGTTTCAGAAACATTCTGATTTATACTTTCAAAGTTATGCAAAAGAGAAAACTACTTTCCAAGGACACCTAACGTCTTAATAGCAAAGCTTGTGCTCAGGTGCACTAATTCAGTTGACTGCCCTTTGCCCATATTGTGTTTTCTCATGTTTTGCCTGTCCTCTGAACTTAAAGCCCCCGTTTTACACAATATGGTGTGCTTTTTTCCTTCAGGATATCTAGGTCACAGGGGTGAACCTGAGTTCACATGATGCTGACCTTGACCTGTGCCCCCGTGTTTCCTTGATGATTTTATAGTTTGCACTCTCATTGTCTGTCAGCCTCCCG